TGTCTTAGTAAGTGGGAATATTTTACCGTGGCTCAGGCTTGAACCAAACTGCTGCACAGCCATGACTTCCACGTTCTTCATTTCGTTTCTTGCTGTAATCAGGATCTCTTTTGTTCGTGGCTGTAATAAAGGGGAAACCCAGATTAGGCACCAGCAATATCAGCAGCCCCAGAGTCTAAACCAGAGAATGAATGTATACTGAAAGCACAGCAGCTTTTTGTCCTCTTTTTATTAAGAGAAAACAAATCAAGGAGATTATTAGAGGAGAAGAAAGGTGCTGCACTGCAAAATAATAATTACTTCAATTATGGGAAGTGTTTGTACACATGCACAGAGATGACCCCTTTTGGCAGAGCACTTGGTAACGTTAGAGCTGAGGAAACTCAGCCAGCAGCTAAATGGAGAATTCAAGTTGTGGGAGTCACTATCTTAAATTTTTTATTTAGTATACACTAAACTGACTTTCCCTTGAAACGAAATTCAGTGCTGAATCTGAGTCATAAAATCTCCCTATTCAAAAAAGGCTGCAAAAAAATAAAAGAAAAAAAGAAAAAAAGGCAGTGGTTTTTGCATCATTATAGAGTTTAGATGAAAATTACATAATAAAATATTAAAGGGAAAAGTATTGAGTTGCCATGCAGCAAACTGGGCTGTGTCAAAATTTAAAAACTGTGAGTCAGGGAGAAGCTGTGAAGCAAGCAGGATGACATCGGGGAAGGGAGGCAGCGCGATCTGTGACTCAGACAAACATTTCAATGCAGGAGACACAGTCAAACAAAAGGATCCTAGCGCATGTGATGTCAGCAAGAGAACGCTCCCGTTTGGGAATAAAGCCTTCCTACGTCTGGCGGTGCAGGAGGAGGGGGGAGCTGGCACCGAGCTCTTGCCTACGTAGGCACGAGGAAAACCATCCATTAGGAATGCTGGAGCAATATTTTCGGGAGCTCTCCTGGATCCTGGTGATAGCTGCTATCTAAGGGGTTTGGTAATTATGGAAAAATCCATTTCTCTCAGTGCATTGTGCTGGGATTTAACACCCTCCACACGTCCTTCCGTGTGTGAGCAGAGTAACAGTGTGGCTCCCATATACTATTAATTTCAGCTGACTGGTGGTTTTAATTTTGTTTGTAGTAGAGTAGCATCCAGAAGCCCCAGCTGAGATGCTGATCCTGTTATAACAAGATAAATGGTCTTGGCTGAGTAAATGTTAGAGCTTCCAGTGTTACGGGCATCATTATTCAAATAAAAAAGATGCACAGTTACTGGTTAACAGTAGGAGTTACAAAATGTACAGAGGAAACATAGGAGGCTCTCTATGCTGAGATTTTTTAATTTTTCACTCTTTTTTTTCCTATTGAAGCTATTATAAAAATCAGCTCTGCAGACCAGAACTGAGAGAAGGATCTGTTGGCGGAGACAAAATTAGATTAAATGAGCCAGATTTCGTTCTCATCTGCTGGAGACAAGGAAGCTGTTCCAGGCTCAGAATTGCAGAGAAAGAAAAAATTTGACCGTTGCCTCACCAGTAAATCTTCCATGGCAAGTTGATTTTATCCCATATGTGCCTGGAATTCTCATGCATGTCACAGCGTCGGTGCCCAACAGCGAGGGGCAGAAGAGAATTTTATTACTGCACAAAAAGTGAGATTCTAAGTAGCCAACCTCATGGCACTGCATCAAAAAGAAAATGGGTTGTTTGATTTGCTGCTTAAGTCCCAGTCTGCTGAAAGCCAAGGGCTTTAACTGTCATGCTGAGTTTGAAATTATTCCATTTTGTGGGGACGACATTTACTTGTGGTGGAGGAACTTATTTTGTCACCACAAGAAGAATCCAGATCCTACCACAGGCCTTGGCAACAGGCAAACACTGCGGTCACAGGAGAATTCTCAAGCCCTGAGTCCTGCTTTGAAACTCTTTAGTTTGGACAGGGAAAATAACAATTTATTTGTTCCTGTTTTGATGTGTTCTGCACCTTTTCCATTATGAAGTACTGAGGAACCAGCAAGCCTCTAAGTAGAGTAAATTGAAGAAAACATGGAGAAGAAATAGCTTAACTGGAGGTACAAAGGTGTAGCCAAGGTTCAAGGTAGGAAATCAGTCTCCTCTTCATGTCAGCCACAGAGTGATTGACTAGTGTGGAAAGGAGATTTGGCCACTAACCTGAGTGCTGAGAAAAGTACATTTAAATTATAACAACCATTTTCCTGATCAATTTCAGTTAGTGTTCCTTTAGTCATTTTACAGGGGGACTAAATTTTGGATCAGATTTATTGTCAGGTATTTAATGGATTAGCAACAAAGAAAAAAAACCAGAAATCCTTGCTGCCTGGTTTTTGAGCTCCACCCTTGTCCTGAACAAAAGGAGATAGGGAAGTTGGAAGGGCAAGTCGTTGTGTTCCAGCTTCTCCAAAGAGACTGTTTTTACCATGCTCAGGATAATAATTCTTTAGAAAGCCACATTAAGCTGTGTGGTACTGTTTTAACACCTGATAATTCTATATTTAATACATCTAGTAATTTTAGAAGTATGGTTTGACGCTTTCTTATCCTTGAGAGAAATGGAATAAACAGAGCGCTGACATGGCAGCAACACAACTATTCCAGAAGGGAAATAAGAGTTTTTTAAAAGGATGACGAGCAGGGGGTCAGCCCGTGTTCCCAAAGCAGCAGGGCCGTGCTAAGAGCTCCGCAGGGAGCCTGGCTGCAGGGGAATGTGGCGCTGGCAGCGGCAGGGAGCAGCCTGGCCAGCCCTCCTCCTCCGCAGCCCCTCGGCTCCAGGAAGCGGTGCCAGCTGCTCCCTGCTCCGGGCTTCCCTCTGCCGCTCCCCGGGCTGGGCACTCGGCGTCTCGTGGCTGCTGGCCATGCGCTCATTTGGGATGATTAGGGTCAGGGGAGCTGGCTTCCCTTGGCTGCCGCAAGATGCCTGCATTAATGTTCTCTCCTGAAGAATGAAATCACCGGGAACTGGCCCCTTTCCCAGTACTGAATTTCACCCACAAATGCACCCACTGTTAAACTGTCAGCTCCTGTCTTGCTTCCCATAAGCAAGAAATATTCCTACAATATCCACTATCTATCTGTGAGAGAGCCTAAGCTCTACACAGTTTGAACTCTATCTACAGAAATAATAAATGGCGTTAAAACCAATAATTCCATCATGACAAAAGTAGTAAAAATGTTAGATTATGTGCCAAAATAATGCATAGAAAAGTCTGTATTTTACTAAGTCAGACTTCAAGAATTATAGCTAATTATTCTACACTTCAAGAATTATAGCTAATACTACTCATTTTTACAAGAATTACTTGCCATTGATTTAAACAGAGCCAAAGAAGCATTGGGATATTAAAAAAAAAAATCACATTTCAGTTTCAAACAATGAGAAGGGGGAATGTTTAAAATATTTTATAACATATATAGGAAAGTAAAAAAGAAACTCCACAGACCTCAATGAATGGTTCTAATTGCGTCTGGATGTTTTTCTCAAAGGCCACAAATGTGTTGTTTGAATGCCTGCTCAGTTTCCATTATTTTGGAGGTTTACATTTCTGACACATATCCCTCTAATGCTCTTAATTTATTTAGTGTGAACTGCTGCAATTTTAGCAACACAGTTACAACTACACTCACTTAGTAATTCTTTTTGTATCATATATGTTACTAAATTAAAATGTTTTGGGCTAAAGAACAAGTTGTCTCCATAGTAAGAAAATAATGTCTATAAAGTGCAGCGTGTCAATAAGAGATTGTAACACTTTTTTTTTTTTACTAGATAAACTAACTGCTTACTACACTTTTGCTAGTAAATGTGTACATCACATAAATCTATCTCTTTAAAAGCCATTCATTCATTCATTTGTGAAATGAGCACAAGTTTCTGTGGCTAATTCACAGGGTTTGAGGCTGTTGAAAGAAGTGAGAATGAGCTGTCTCAATGGGGTTTGAGAAGGATGCTAATTCAAAGCACACCCTTTCCTAAACTGGGGTCTGAATTGAAGGCTGAAAATGGAATTTTCCTTTGGGATGGGACTGGAAATTTCCATGACAGCTGGAAGTGGGATTCAGGCCTGAAATCCCATGTTTTGCAATGGATGGGGATATTTCAGAATAATCTTTGACTATTAATCTGGAAAAGCTGACTTGACCTCAAAAACTTACTAAAAAAAAAAAAAAAAAAAAGTGAAAGAAAAAGAGAGAATGACTTTGGTGTTTAGAAACACTCTAAAAATCCTTATTATGGTCAAGGAGCTGGTAAAACTGTGGTGGCAGAAGTTACTTAGCTCTTTAAAGCTGCAGTTGACCAGGCTGAACCTGAGAAAATGAACTGCAGTTTGATGGATGTTGACTCTGTCAACAAGAGTCTTCTTGCTGTATTCCTTACAAATTCTCACTGTCTTTAGTCTTAAGCAACTGGAATTATTAAAACTGAATATAGCTGCTAAAATTAATTCAGGTTTACTGCAAAAGCCCTGCTTTTTAAAGAAAGAAGCCCTGCTTTGAAGAGGCGTTTACCACTGGAATTTTGCCATTAAACTCATTTGTATGGTATCAGATCATGTGTCACAGGTATGTTAAGTACATGAACCCTACCTGTCTTCAGTTTGTCAGCCCACAGGAGTCACTTCCAAAGGTTACAAAGAATTAAAAAGCACTTCTTTTTGCCCTCCATACAATTCAGGCCACCTCCCCAAGGCCTGTTCAAACCCTGCTTATTACTCAACAGCAAATGAGAAAGAGGAAGGCATCATTTTAAGGCTAAAATGAAATAGATTTCTTCCAAAACAATACTGCTAAATGTTTTTTTAAAACAAAAAGCAACACTATTAAGCTGAAAAGGATACAAACACCTGCATTTCCTTCTCACATCAAGTGCAAACCTTATTCTCCACATGATTTCCAATGGTCTCAGACTCAGAATGTTGGGAATTGTGAGTTTATTCCATCCACCTCCCCTCATCCCTCAGGAACCATCCACCCAACGATATCCAGAGCACAGCCAGGCACTCTAAATTTAGCTGCCAGAGTTCCTGAACACTCCAAACATTTCGTAACGCTCTGAGGGCTCAGTGGGTGCTCAGGGCTTCCTTTTCTGGGCAGGGTGGCTCCTTCTGGGGGAGTTTGGCCACCCCAGTGTCCCCAGGGAGAGCGGGGCCAGCGGAGCCTCCTGCCTGGCTCAGCCACACCACCCGCTGCCGCCGTATGCTCCGTGTTCCAGCCTCCTGGGAATGGTTCTCCACCTTTCCCTCTCACAAACAAATGTCAGCATGGCTGGCAGCCATCAGCTCTCTATTTAATAGCAGAGCAAAACAATCCTGGCTTGACCGTAGCGCCAAAAGTTGACGAAGTGTCCTGAGTGTGGAGTTCTACTCTTGTTTCATTTTAATTAGTGTCTTCTGCCACGAGACAAATGATGAAAAGCACATGGGGACTGCCAAGATGAATCAAGGACATCTGGTAACTTTAACATTTCAGCATGAAACAGGGTAGGTATTACTCCCAGATACTCCTCTGTGCTGTTTGAAACAACTAAAAAAATATAAGAAATTAACAAAAATTACAGGAAAAGCTTGCCTAAATGCTTTTGAATCTCTTCTTAGGTAGTTTTAATTGCTGCTTTTCATAAAACATGAAGCTGATCTTGTGTCTTGTTGAACTAGTTGTGACTTCCCTAAGACATTGTAATAATGGGAATTTTTATAACTCAGATCATATTACATTAAGATTATCTGGATTATGGTTTCTTAGAAACTCCAACTGCCTCTGGATTCTGAGGGAAAAACAACTGATCATGAAGTTAAAACTGCTTTGTGATACTTGCATTGATATACATCCTCCCGGGGCTTGTGACTCACTGATGATGCAGAACACACAAACATTAAAAAAAAAAATAAAAACCAAAATCCAGCAATGACATCGTCAGCTGCAACTGGGAGCTCTCTGCTCAAAAAGAACTGCAATGTTTCTTACCCTTCAGTGTTTCTTACCCTGCAAACCCCCCTGGCATTCGCTAAATAAATGAGTGTAAAATTGAAAATAGAGAAATGGCATTAAGAAAAATATTGCTTAGACATAACCTTCCAGGACAAGTGATGTGACTTTCTGCCACTGTCAGCTGTGAAGGACTAAGACTAACTGTGACAATCATATTTTTAACTCTCAGGGCTTTTACATATTCACAAGATCACAATATGATCAGTCAACGCAGTGGCTGGAAATATTCTAAAATTAGTTTGGCTCTAAAATAATTCACCAAACAGAAGACAGATCCACAGGAGCACCCTGACATGCAGAGGTAATTGCTACAATGTAGAGAACAACAGGTTTCAGCAAGATATTGTCCTTGTTACAATACATAAAAATTTGAGGATATTTTGCATATGAGGCTCGTGATTTGGCCATTTTTCAAGGTATATCTCACATTAAGGATATCATTCCCTCCCATGTGTACAAGCTATTTTAAATGTGTGGCAATTATACCTGTTCATTAATTGTATTTATGGACCTGATAGCTCTGAAAATAGCTTTCCAGCAGCAATGAATAAAACAAGCCAAAATGCCTTTCACAAATGAAAGACATTTATTAGACAGCAAGAGAATATTCACTGCAGTTTGTCTCCCACTGACAGGTTATCTTTTTAAGTTTTAGTTGGTGTAGCATCTTCAGCCTCTCACAAATTCTTTGCCAGAACATGGAATGAGTAGATATTGTGCAATATGTAATTTATCCCAGGATCATGGCATGGTTTGGAAGGGAGCTTAAAGACCATCTATTCCAACCCCTGCCATGGGCAGGGACACTTTCCACTGAACCTGGGTGTTCAGAGCTCCATCCAGCCTGGCCTTGGACACTTCCAGGGATGCAGGGGCAGCCACAGCTTCTCTGGGCAACCTCTGCCGGGGCCTCCCCACCCTCACAGCGAAGAATTCCTCCCGAACACCTGAACTAAACCTACCCTCTGCCTTTCTCATGGCCACTTCCCCTCACGCAAACACGCTCCGATGTCGAGCCCGCTCTCCGAGGCTGCTCCCGGCCCCGGCCCGGGCCGCGGCTCGGCGGGACAGCGGCGTCCCCTCACGGCGGGGCGAGCCCGGGCCGCCCGCCGCTGCCGCCCCGGCCCCGCGCACCCTCCGGCAGCCGCGGAGGCGCCGACGGAAGCTCCAGGGAAGCCCCGAAGGAGGCAGGGATTAGGTAACAAGCGATGTGCGCTCAGGTTTCCTCCGGGTTCCTGTGAGGAACCTACGCGTCTGGCTGCCTTCGCATGACTCATCACAGCGGCGCGGCTGCCGCCGCTCCCGCCGGCCCCGCGGGCCCTGCTCGGGAGCGCGCGCGCAGGCGGCGGGAGGGAGGGAGGGAGGAGGAGGAGGAGGAGGCGGCGGCGGCGGGCAGGGAGCTCTCTGCGGGCGCAGTGCTGATCCGCCGGCGGGCGGCCGGGAATGCGAAGCGATGGCCGCGGGCGGCTCGGGCAGCGGCGGCGGCGGCAGCGCGGAGGAGAAGACCTACCGCCGCTTCCTCGAGCTGTTCCTGGGGGAGTTCCGCGGGCCCTTCGGGGCAGAGCCGGAGCCCGAGCCGGAGCCCGAGCCGGAGCCGGAGCCGGCTGCCCCCCCTCCCGCTGCCGAAGCCGCGGGCGACGCTGACGAGGAGCCCGGGGCAGAGGGAGAAGCGGGAGCGGCCGCCGAGGCGGAGGAGGGAGAAGGCGGCGAGGGCGATGCCGGCGACCCTCAGCCGCCCGCCCCGCCGCCGCCGCCCCCGCCGCTGCCCTCGCTGCCCCGGCCGCTCTCGGAGTACATCACGGAGGAGGAGGTGGAGGGCGAGTGCCTGGACCTCTGCCTGCAACAGCTCTACAAGTAGTGAGTGCCGGGCTGAGGGGAGCGGGGCAGGGCGCGGGGCTGAGGGACCCCCGCGTGTGGGGCTGAGGGACCCTCCCGTGTGAGGCTGAGGGGACCCTCCTGCGTGAGGCTGAGGGACCTCCGTGTGGGGCTGAGGGACCCCCCTGTAGGGCTGAGGGACTCCCCAGTGTGAGGCTGAGGGGACCCTCCTGCGTGAGGCTGAGGGACCTCAGTGTGGGGCTGAGGGACCCCCCTGTGGGGCTGAGGGATTTCCCTAGCGTGAGGCTGAGGGGATTCCCCTAATGTGTGGCTGAGGAGACCCCCAATGTGGGGCTGAGGGATGGAGGCGAGGGCAGGGGAGAATCCCCGAGGCAAAAGAGTTCAGGACTTCGGTGGTGCTGAGCATCCCGGGGTCACAGCGTCCTGCTCTGTGCGGCTGCCCCTGCCCCAAGGAATGCCCTGCTCGGTACCCTCTGTTTGCCTCTGGCCGGGATAGGAGAAGGGAAGAGACAAGGGAGAGCCACGAGCATCCATCTGGAGAGCAGCTTGCTGGGGAGGGAGAGCGATGGGGGAAATGTCTCACGCTCTGGTGCCAAAGCAAAGAGGGGGATTTGCCTGTGGTTGATTGTGCTGGGGCTTGAAATTGAAATGTTCCCCTGTGAGGGCTGGTAAATGGGGAAACCTCTGCCAAGAAGGGGAAAGAAGAAGGGACAAGGAAAGAGAGGCGGTCCAGTCCCTTCACCCTTCCAAAAAAACCACTGCACATGGAGAAAACGACATCGTGTATTCACAGCCCGGGGAGAAAAGAGTAGAAAACCTTGGGAGAAAGCTATCCATAATCATGGGGATTTTTCTGCCGTCAGCTGGGGAAAGCCGGCTATACTCGGTTCTGTACGGAGGCAGTTTCCAGATCTGTGCTTTCTAAAGGCTGGTGCATAAAGAGGAAACAGATGGGATCTATTCCCAGTGTGGAAAGTCTGTGGACTGAAACCTAAAGATCAGTTACCAGTGCCTTGTATTGTGCTCAGCTCCGGCTTTGAAGGCTCGAAATAGAAACGGTTGTTAGTGGCAATTCTTTAGGAACCTTTTTAAACTGATGCCACAGGAGGAGACAAATGAAGCTGTGAAAATCTGCACAGCACACCGGGGAGATTTTCTGCCATTGAGCCGGTAATTGTAATGAGAGGTGTTACTCAGTCGCAGAAATAAATAAATAAAGAGAGAAAAGAACGGGGTTTTACAACTGCATGGTCTGTTTCTATCCAGTTCTCATCTGCCCTCTGCGTTTGTGGACGGTAGGGACAACACAATGATAGCTGCAGAGGACAAAGCTCTCCTATTCACACATGCTCACCCTGCCACCTTTGGAAAATCTCTGGAATACAGCAGCACATTCATAGGATGTGGTAGAGAGCAGAGAGGCAAGTCCCTTCTACCTATTTAGGACGTGTTTTGTTGGGTTATTTTTAAACAGGCTTGTGAAATCCAAAGTCACGATAGTGGGAATAAAGTTTTAGACGTGGAGCAGATTATTTGAAAGTATTATTTGAAGTATAGCTATGAAATTATTTTGAACTGGAATTCCTCCCCAGTCCCTTCTCTCACTGCCTGTCCCCATACCCCAGATTCCCCAGTTTCTGAAGCTCATATTCAAGGCTGAAATTAATAAGGAAAAAAAAAAAAGACCTTGTGAGAGGAATCTTTTTATAGAGACAGCTCTTGCCAGGTTGTGGCTCTTTGGGTTTTTTCAGCCTTCAGTATAAATCTTTGGATGGCCACTGAATGAAGCATCCCCTGGCTTTGTTTGTGGTGAAATCAATGCAGGCTTCCTCCTCTAGGCAAAACCCAAGGGCCACTTCAAAATCAAGAGAGCAAGGGATTATGTTGTGAGATAATAGTTTCCTAAAGGCTTAAATAAAACATTTTAAAATATTATAATTGAAATCTAACAACTCCTAAGACAGAGCTAAACTGAAATAGCTTTTTCTTGAATGATGGTGGAATCTGAGGTAAGTGCAAATAAGCAAAAGTATTCTTCAGGTAAGGTACTGTATTTTTAGTTCACTCTCCAGTCACCAGAGAAACTTAAAATGTGACAAGACTATAAAACAGGCAAAAGCAGAATGAGCCAAGGGCTCAACTGGTCGGATGGTTCCAGAGGTGGGAAACTTGATGTGGATGAGTAAAGCTGCTCTTGTGCCAACAGTTATGAAAGTGTTAAAATTTAAAATAATAAAAAAAAAAAAAAAAAGCACATGAAAGCTCATGTAAGAAGGAATATTTCTTTGGTTTGTCATTAGCAGGAGAGACTATTCTGAAGGCATGTTTTCTGCAACTATATATTAGACAAATGACTGGTTTGCATTCTATGTAGCATGAAGATAAAACCCATTGCTGTGAAAAATCCAACAGCTGTTTTTTGGCTATTTTAAGCACAGAGCTTTAGATCTTTTTGAGGAAAGTAAGACCATTTCAGAAATGAGAACATATTGCTAATCATGACAAAATACAATGTTTTCCTGCCACTGTGTAGATCAGTATCAAAGAGTGATACTGATATTTATGAGATTTTCCTGCTATTTTCCAAAAGACTCATATTCCCCTTTGAGGTTTCCTGTTCCTGTTTGGGTTTTTTAATTTATTTTTTTATTTTTTT